CCATCACTATAAAAGTTTAGTTCACCTGTTTTGATATTCCATAAGTTCATTATTGATTTTCTCGATGTCAATCTCCTGCCATAGGATGTCATAGTAGCCATTAACGTTATCAATAACCGAGTTGTACAGATTATACAGCTTCTGTAGCAAACCRAGCTCACGTCGKATTCTTTGGATGGTTGGATACTCKGTAACTTCGAGTCCAAATAATTCCTCACCCCCTACAAAGAGAGAGCACAGTCTATTATGTATGTCAATTAAATAACCTATAATGTGCTTTATATGAATRCTAGATCGAGGAAAATAAGTTCTCGAGAAGGCTTGAAAAACTTGCGCAAGTTCAAGTTTACCTGAGTACGTTTCAAACTTTCTCCATATTTCGTCAAAACGAGCCTGRAATATRCCAAGGCGATCACTAGCCTCTCTTGGCGCAATCCCTGCAACCATTGGTCCCCTGAAAAAGACAAGTTGTGTTAGGTAAATTAGTAATTTCCCTATCATTGTCAAGATCCAAGTCATTCTYACTTGTCCGTGTAGTCACAGGTAAACTCGTCCACAACACCTTTGAAGTTAGMRACTCCTTCTAGTAAATCTGCTTTGAATTTTGGTTGAATGGTCAGTAGATTTGCAGCAACCGAACCAGCCTATGAATAACAAATACTAGTTCAGGTAAGGATRTCACYGCAATGGATTATGGGGTTTTCTCGGTCCAGTACCTGCGCTGTTAGTTTTTTCCAGGCATATGTTAAGCCATCAACTCGCTCYGCATCAGTGCTTGGATAGTGAAGYTGATARCGGTTCAACATTGCAAATGACTCCTCGATTGGWCCAATCATCATRTCCATCCTGTGTGAATATCATAAATAACTTAATAATCTTGCAATTGCTGGTATTAAAGAGGTTCCTTAAGTTCCTAACACCCCTCGACATTTACACAATGAAAAACGCTACAGCATGTACTGTAACTCACTTAATTTCTGATTCTCTGATCTCGCTTAGAGCGGCCATACTGCTCCTAACATCATCAAGGTCTGTAATGTTTCGTGCAAGTCTCTTGGTCAAGTTATCAATGAATGCGAAGATCTCTTCCATGTCTGYGCTTGCCTGGAAAATAGTGAAAGTTTGATGARTATTTGAACCAGGAAACGAAGTGGTAATGATGCAAGTAGAGGTTGTAACCATTGTACAAGCATCGCGACTAATTCATCACTAGTTTGATACCATTAGAGGAAATACGTCTCTGATCTAAGTTCTGAATAGGATATTTATGCTACGTAAAAGTAGGTTTACGTGTACGTTTCAGTAAGAAGAACGTTACCTTAGCCGCAAGAGCTTGTCCAAACGCTTGCTTCCAAGCCTTKGTTTCYGTGATCAAAGCTTCCTTGAGACGATCGGTGAGATAGATGACAGAACCAATGCGATAGAAGTGAGGTAGTTCYTCGATACGAGACTCTAGATGCTGAATAGCAATATCACAGAACGTTATGATCAGCCATAAAGATGTAATCTCATAAACACAGGATTTTTATTGTTCTGTTACCTGATAGTACTTGATCTGACCATCAAAATCTGATAGCAGAGGTTTAGATTCTATGAACTCTTTCACCTTCTCATTAGGGTCCTATTCAACGTAATAGAACAGTTTAATAAAGTATAATAGAACTCCCCCCTGATCTGACAGATACAATGGTCAGGAGAAGGGGGTCTTATCACATTCAAGATCACTCCCCCCTGTCTAACTGATCCAAGGTTAATAAAACTCACACAATTAATTCTACGAGAAGGGGGGTGCCTTACCACATTCAAGACCACTCCCCCCGGTCTGACTGATCCAAGGTTAATATAACTCACACAATTAATTCTAAGAGAAAGGGGGGTTGTCTTACCGCATTCCAGAGCTCCTTAAATGCATCCATCTCGCTAAGAACGTCTTTGCAATCAGCTTTGAAAGTACTGACAATCGAGCTTAATACAATAACGACTTTGACAACATCTTTGTGTTCTGATACTAATTTGTACAATGACTTAGGGTTGACTGGAGGTATTGGCTTGCCTTCCTCGACGACTGGCATTGGGGGTTGATGGATTAAAGCATGGTCTTTCCATTCGTGAACACGCTGAGGTAAATCACAATGTCAACAACAATGATATCAACAACAKTAGCAACAACAACAACGACGCTTGACTAGTGTAATTTCACAACAGTAACAACAGCTGCGGCAGCAACAACAACAACAAAAGCTCCACTCATTTTTGGCAGTTTAACTGCAGTAAGTAGCTTACCTGAGTCGTTTTCAGTATTATCTGAACTGCTTTATTTAGTAACTGTTGGATGTCATCTAAACTTGGCTTCAGRAGAACTGATGGGATTTCTAGTACAATGTCAGCCTATGGAGATCAACAAAAGGTAAGGTTTGGGTTTCCTGTGGGGAAAGGACGAGAGCGAGACTGGACCAACGAACCAAGAGTTGACTAAAAGGTGTATTAGGCGAATTTCCCATTTATTCATGCATCTATATTTTTTTCACTTCCCTCTCCTTCTCTCTATCCCAATCTTCCTCTTTTCTCTCCTTCCTTCTTTCGTTTGCTTCTTTCATCTTTCATTTATCACTTCTTTCTTTCCTTTCTCCTTTATTTTCATTCTTATCTCCTTAAATCTACACCATCAGGTAGCCTCACCTTGAACAACGCTGTTTTGATATCACCAGTGTCTCCCTTGTATTTACTAGATGCTTGCATYCGTCTTTTTATCGAGTCTAGAGAAAGTCTTGTACACTTGACTAACGCATCGATRGTTCTTTGGTTAAAACTAATGACAAGATTCCAATAATAACATGGCATGCACTCCCAACATCTGTTCCCTCGATTGTTCTTGGCTTGTTTGGATTCTGAGTTTAAACATGGGTAGTTGTCTTTGACTAGAGGCGCTAATTCTTCCGCAGTCATGTTGCTTTTGATGGTTTCAAGTAGGAATTGCACTGAACTCTCGACAAGTTTACAGTATCTGGGAAAATCAATATATATGATTGAGTGATTGATTGATTGATTGGTTGATTGATTGGTGATTGATTGATTGACTGGTTGATTGATTGATGGATTGATGGATTGCGTGCTTGATTGAATTGTTTGCTTGATGGATTGATTGATGGATGGATGGATTTCTTGTTTAATTGCTTGCTTACTTGATTGATTGGTGCCGATTGATTGATGGATTGATTGATTGATTGAATGAACGGATGGACTGATGGATGAACGGAGATACAAAAAGCAACAAAATGTTTTCGCGTTGTAGATTAGCGCAGACAATCAAGGGCTATCAGGCAGTGATGACTTCTACATCTCACTTCATACCTGGACAAGACTTCGGCGTTTTCGTTGCACGTTCGATCAGTTGTTTCAACAAAATCTTCCACAAAGATCGCTTCTTCCTCTTGGAGATCACACAATGGTGTACTTCCGATTTCTTTAAGAACGGCTTCAATACGACAGTCGAGGATATCGCCGACCTATAAATAATACATAAAAAACATTACATGTAAGACTCAGAATCTAACATTCTAGCAGGGCCGAAATGAATGATGCGTTCATGGGTGACAGAATCATTTAAAGTTTTAGAAGTGGATCACTGGAAAAAATCGCGCGCTTTAAAGGTTGTAAATTTGATGTAAATATGATGTAAGTGTCCAAAATGATGGAAATTTGATGGAAATGATTTACRACAAATTTACATCAGATTTCCTTCATTTTGGACATTTACATCATATTTACTTTAAATTTACAACCTTTAAAGCGCGCGTTTTTTTGCCAGTGGGATTAGGTATTTATTCATGTTATTTATTTTACCTCTTTGGATAGGCGCTCTAGACTTTTAACTGATTGATGTATGCCATCGATATCTGCAAAAAAAAGATTCTAGTTGATTTACGTAATAGAGAACTACCTTACGTAAAAGAATCATGTCCGCTCTGTTTTGATTTTTTTGCAGGCCGCAAATAGATCCTCAAGTAAACTGGAATTCTATCCAATCCAAACAACAAAAAGGCAAATAATTCATTCTTGTAAACACCATTACGTTTGTGCAGCAACGTATTGTAGGTACAGACATGCGCCAACTTCTGATAACCATCCAAAATACAAATACATAACGTTATTACTTAAGATGCGTTATAATGCKTTACGCAAACGCACAACGTAGTTACTTACACGCTGAAATATTCATAGAAGTCCAGTTCAGCATTGACAGTCCAGGTTTTATTGTCTCGTCAACACGTTCCGTAAAGGGTAACATTAGYGGTAAAACGACCTCTGGGATGTTCGCCACTACTCGATTGTAATCCTCCAAAACTTCACGTAATCTGTTACTGTTTGATTTTATTTGCTCTTCTTTCAGACGTAAAACCTGCGCTGCGTTAGGAACCTTGGGAAAAAATTGGGATTACGTTTATACTAATAATGCTACGTTTTCGCAATGTTACGTAAAATTTACGTAATGGTAGTTAATTATTCTGCGCAATGTTTGAATATGAATTGGGTGTGAATTTTACACAAAACAACAAAAACGTTAATACGTAATACAAAACGCCGTCCGTTGCGTTTATGCAAAGACTTACGTAACGCAAAGATAACGGCAATAATAAAGATGATTACCTCAAGACTAAGCCTCGACATACACTTAGCTTCTTGGATCAATTCTAGAATTTGTGGATCGAAGTTGACAAACAGCGTCTGCAAATAATAAAAGACACTTTTTTAATACTTAAACGAAAACACTACGTAAACGCACCACCTCACGTACTTTTGTTTCTGGATGTCTGACAAGAAGTGATGCTTGTAGTCCACTTTTTGCCGCTTCAACAGCACGGTACCAGCCACGATGATATAAAACCTGGCGGAAAACGAATGGAACTTGTTACGGTAAACTAAGAGAAAAACAGATGAAACGTTAACATGAACATACCTCAAATTCTACGAGGACTGAAGCCATTTTGTTGTAGCTCTTGATAAGTCGTTTTGCATCCTCGCCCTAAAGGACATCAAAATATATGATTGAGATGACAATGGTGGAGAATGAATGATACTGTCGATTATGATAATGATGATGAAAATACCTTTAATATTTCTGGGTATTTCTTAAACTGCACCATTGGCTCGTGAATTCGTCGAAACAACTGTTTTGCCCAAGTAATTTTACCAGCAACCTAAGGTAGAAACCAAACAAATGTCAATAGAACCCAATTAAATGTCAATAGAGCTCAATTAAATGTCAATAGAACCCAATTCAATGTCAATAGAAACCAATTCAATGTCAATAGAACCCAATTCAATGTCAATAGAAACCAATTCAATGTCAATAGAACCCAATCGAATGTCAAAAGAACCCAATTAAATGTCAATAGAACCCAATCGAATGTCAATAGAACCCATTAAAGTGCAGTAAAACCTTTCAAATGCACACAAAGACATTGCAATGTACTTACAGGTGGGAGATTTCTCAGAATTGGTGGATCGTTCTTTTGCTTTTGGTACATTTTTCTACAAGCTTCTAAATCTCTAAAATATGAAAAAAGTGACATGTTTAAACTTTCAATATAAACCCTTAAATACAAAATTAAATAATCATAATATTATTTTGGTTGCGAGTTACATACTTTCCATACTGCATAAGGAGCTTGTAATATTTGTCGTGAAGGTAAAGTTGTACACCAGAAATGCTTTCAAACTTGTTCAGMAGCTCAAGAGAACGCATTGTCTACRAAGAAAWCATTTTCCCATTTGTTTCATTYATTCATCCATTCTYTCATTTAAAAATTAATCAATCCAGTGATCCGTCCCTCCTGTTTTTATAAAGAAAATAATACTTACTGACAATGGCTTCTCGAACCAAGAATCTACAAATGCTTGTAGCTGTTGTTTGAGMCCTTCGATATTCTCCTTGAATTCCTCGTAGTCCATATCAAACTAAAACGAAAAAAAAAGCCATGAGTTACATAGTAATAACTACGGATACGCAAAGACGAATCATAACGTAACGTACCTCGCCTTTCCTATGATCCAATAGATCGTATGCCTTCTTTTTTACGTTGGATACGATGGTCGTGTAACGGATAACTATCGTTTCAATGCCCTCGATCTTGACTTGATTCAAACCAGACAAGTTCTCCATAGTTTTCAACATATCATCGATCTTCTCAAGACGTTTGCAGAAGGCATCGAATTTACCAAATATGTAATTTTCACTAAAACGACAACAAATGATAGCGTTGTGAAAAACATCGTTTATCGTTATCATCAGGGACATCATCACTTGATCCATGACAATTACTATCTACATTTTATAATAATTATCTTTATTATTGACTCATTTGTTACCTAAACTCAAACTGTCTTTCTTTGGGATTCTCTCTCAGCTTCATCTTAGTTCGATGGAAGCACCGTTGATATTCTTCATTCAAAGCAATGCACTCYTTAAGTCGTCCAGACAGTTCCTCTCTACACAAACATTAGAGTCACCGTTTAGTACTAATTGATTCCTGCAATGTGTATGGCTTTCTATGTGTACCTTTTGTGGTCCCATATTTTAGACACTCCTCTGTTAATATATGCCTTACATGTGGTGATCATTTGATTGGTTACTTTGACAAACAGTGATGTCATGCGCTCCGAGGTATTGTAGTACTGTGAGATGCTGTGAATCATTCGTATGGCATTCACCAAACTAGGAACATACTCTATCATCTCAGTCTAAAGAATACAAAGCATTTCGTGACACAGTTATACTAAAACAGTAAAGAGAAAAGGAAAGAAAGAATATGTTTGAAAAGGTTATGTGAAAATGGAATGGAGAAATGAAATAAAGTGGAATACTGGAGAAATGAAAAGAGGAGAAGGAAGAATTGATGAGGGGGAAGAGGACGGAAGGGAGGATGTAACGTGCAATGGAAGATATAAAGGGAGAATAGAAGTTATAGAGAAGAAATTAAGGGATATGAAGGGAAAAATTGAATCAATGGGAATGAAGAAGGAAGGAAGGGAAATGGAAGGGAGAAGAAGGGAATGGAAATTTAAAAGTGTAAGATAAGAAAGGACAAAGAGACAGTGAAATTTCTTACCGGTGAACATTTAATAAGAGGACCAAAGAACTTATCAAGAGTGTAAAGATATTTGACATTATCCTTAGCTTCATTTGCTGAATCAGTGATACGACTATCCTGAAAAACACAACATTAAAATAACAATAAGTCTCACTCCGTGCACTGTAAGAAATTCAGGTACATGTAGTCAGGACTCCTTACCATTTCCTTCCAGTGCTTTAAACTCCTGGACTTAGCRGCATGAAGAACACCAACAGCGGCTTTACAATGAGGACTTTTGATCTGGTCTAACAGACTGAAAGATGGATATTTCAAGCATTGAATGACTTGAACAYATCAAAAGCCATGACATGAGTATGTTCGGCCATTTGCTAGCAAGGTGATATAACTTACACATTAAACTTTGCCATCCTTTTCTTCCAATGTTCAAGCTCAGCAATTGGACCRATATCGTCTGCTTCTTTCCTCATCTAAACAAAGAATCAACCTTTAAATCATCATTTCAATCATCATTATTATCATTACTTCAAGCTCTTATCTCTACAACAAGTGCTGCAGTTATATGTTTATTTCCATACCTGCTCACTCTCAGCTAAGACCTGTTCAATCTCCTTTGACCAAATAGCTATCAATCCTTCAAGCTTGTCAACAATGTCTGGATTTAGTGCTGCATGGAAAATTCAATTCGTGATTTAATGATTTATGTCTTGAAAGAYGACAGTGTTGTTGCATTGAAGCACTTATTCAGAATTATTCTCTTTCTCAGCAAAGGAAACTTTTCCTGGAATATACAGTACCTGCAGTAACGTAGTCTGAAGGTGTTTTCAAGCTGTCAAGWAGRTCACTCAGTCCATTGTCACCCAAATCAACTCTAGAGTTAATGTTRTCTTTAGCACCAGCTAAAATACCAACAAAYTTTTCAAGTGACTCAAGAAATCCCTGAACTTGTCCTAGTTGATGTGAAATTTCACCCCAACTCTGAAAACAAAGTAAAGAAAACTTTCAGCAWRGGTTTTCTAGTCTTTTAAGATAACATRAGAAGACTTATACCTCCTGTTGGTGAAGAGCAGGGATGAGGATTTTTCCTAAGAGTCTTTCAAAGCCTTCAAGGATGCTTCCTTTGGAGCTGTCCATTAACATAAATACAACCTCCTGCAAATAAAGGAAAATATCCTTTACAGAAAAGCTGACAAGAACTAGATAGCTACCATTGACATTACCTGAGCAATGTTTGCAGTGCTGATAGCCTTCATTGTTGACGTCCTCATAAATATACAGCACTGTCCAGTTAATTTCTGACAACAAAGATAAATGAATAATGGTATTGTATGAGGAGCTCATTTTYCTGCTTTAATGAATCCAGTATAATCGAAGACGTTTTCTGCTCAACTTACTTCAGAGTTCCCATCTGTTATGAAAAGTTTATTGGGTGAATTGGCAGCTTGTGAAGACAAGTCAATCCTGTTCAGCTGTAAAATGATACAATAAGGACATTTAGTTTCATGAAGATGGTCTGACATGATGTCTCCTTTTTATATGAAGAGAAAAGGAAAGGAAGACAAAAGTTAACCTCAAAAAGATAGATAAATAAACTTTTGGACCTTATCGTTCAAAAGTACATTATGTATTAATCTCTCATTACAAGCTTAACTGCTGTCTTACAGAATGCACTCCTCAGGAGCCTCCATTTTCCCCAGGACTATAACAATAACTAAATTCTCCAAGGYGAAGGAAAATATCAAAGAACACCACTTATATATTTGAATACGTACATTTGCTTCCTGATAATAGAACATCATCTTTTTTAATCCATCAACAGCAAAGAACTGCTCAAATTGGGGAAACTATAAACAAAACGAACAGTGTTATAATATAAAATATTTGATTATAAAAGGTAAAAAAAGAGTATTCAAAGTACTTACATTATTATCTCCAAGAATGAAGTCTTCTACCAAATTTAGGTCGATGCTTAATATATCAGAAATCTGTAATACAATCCAAACATGAAAGAATAGATATTGAAATATTCTTATCATCACACGACAAAATTTTCTAGCTTTCAAAAAGTYTGGGTTTTACTAGTTAACTCATTTAATATAAAAATATATACAATTCCTCGCACTTCCTAAAGAGTCATAAATTGAAATAATTATAAAGAAAAAATGGGCTCATTTGTTAACAAAATTGTTCTAGAAAAATATACATTAAAAAATCAAAATAAGATACATTTTAAATGTAAATTAATCAAAAATAATAAAAATAATTGTAACCAATTCAATAAGAAATGTTATGTAACTATTGTTTTAAGGGGTTGCTAAGCAACGCTCCAGTGGTGTCTCTTGAAAAACACTATTATCTCAATATTTTTAATGGACTGAGAAGTTTTTACAATGAGAGGCCATTAAGAACCATAGTTCTACAAATTGACAACTTCATAATCCTCCAATTTGGAAATATTTGACTGTCGATTTCGCTGTATGCTGTTACGCTTGATCGAACAAATCAAAGTTTGCCAAAACAAAAATTTTAATACTTCGGAAAAAAATATAGTTTGAAACTCACCTTTTGAAGTATGTAATTGTGACGAGTATCCATCTAACAGAAAAACAACACCATGTTAAATTATTATTGCCAGGAAAAACACTTATTTTAATGAATTCAATAAAATTTGATGGTCGGATAAATATTGACTGTATTGCATTGTTAATTTCATATTTGTTAATTACACTTCGGTGAGAAAAATAGGTAGATTTTTACCTCGCTTTTGCGTCCATCTTTGAGCGCTTTGGCTTGTTTTTGCCTTTCTTTCATAGCTTCRGATCCTGAAACTAGTGTAACTGTTTTCTTCTAAAAGATAAAACAACCAAATTAGAGTTCTTTAGGTGCAGGACAGTTCATGACCCGAAAAAATCTCGCGTACAAAATGCACACACACTCGCTTTGTGTGCTTGAAGAAAAAAGACAAAATTTAAATTGTGCTTTACTTTTTTTCAAGAGTTTAATGGCATTTATTATCTAATAGCAGATGCCATTATTGAAATCAGAGATAATCTCAAGGATCAGTTTACGCAGAGAAAAAATAATTAGCGGAGAGCTTTGCTTTTCACATCAAATTGCTCTTCAAATAAACGAAATCCACTGCTTAAAGTAAACTTAGCTGAATATACAAATGYACTTGCGATTAAATACAAGATAGTGTAATGTGTTTTTGAGTTTTTCGATGGTTAAACGATAAAGATCAAGTTGTAAATGGTTTTATTCGAGAAGAGGCAACCGTCCCGCGCGAAATCTACCTGAGCAGTTGGTACAGGCATATTTGGTGCCTTTCCCCGTCGTTTGTGACCTTTTTTAGCTTCTTCATCTGAAAGAAAATACACATTTCTAAATCACTTCGAGTCTATCGGACAAAATAGAGTATCATGCCATGCATAAAGGTACAGTTCATGTTTTTTTAATGCGTGCTTTCACTTAAAAGCTGCTGCAAATATGATGAAGATCGATCAATTATTAGATCAGGTATCAAGAAACTTAAGATATTTACTGATTCTTAAGCTTTCTAAAATCTTCTACAGATAAAACCAACCTTTCGCTGTTGAAATCAGAGGAGGTGCAACCTCATTACTCGCCGGAGGAGATGGTGCTCTAGACTTTGTTGGCTCGTCTTGCTGTGCTTCCGACATTTTTACCTTTTCTAACRAATCAAACACTAAAATGCACCAATTAAGTTCCTAAATACCAAGCACAAAGGTCCTTTTCTTCGTAGTTTTCACAATTTCCCTAATCGGGTCCGTAGTGGAAATATTATAAGAGTTTTAAAGTCTGTCTGGTGCTCTGTGCGGGCGCCATGTTCTATCTCCTTGGTGACTGTTTATGCGAACATTTAGTCCTACTTGGATTTGATTGGCTGCTTCGGTAATCAATTTGATCTAATTGTTTGAAGAGGATTCTTTACATTCATTGTTTATACATTTTGACAAAGCCAAAGTACCACTAAAGATTGCAAGTACAGTTCGGTATATTTTAAATTAAGAAATGGAAATTTTGATAAAAATCATAAATCAACGATAAGAAATTCGTAAACAAAGCCTGGAGATTTATATTTTTTTATATTTTATATATTTCCCTTTTTTTCACAGCCCATGACATGCCGTATTTAATGGAAAAGAATGTTTTACTTCTTTCTTCCAAATCCAGTTCATGGATAAATCTTAAGATAAATATCAAGTGAACCTTGCTGAAAATATATGCATTTWAATTCAATAAATATTAAAATCTTTGTTTGTTTAACATAAACACAGGTTTGAAGCATAAATTTATTTGAAATCCATAAAAATGGTTTCATGTTTGGGTAAAACAAATAAAATATTATAGCAGTGGATCAGGAAATGTGATAATTAAAGAAAAAAATAAATAACTGTGAGAAARAATAAAGAGATTTGAATAAAATAAACAGGTTTAAAATTGAAAAAGAATTTAATTTATTCAATTGATTTTGACATTTTAATAACATTTTAGGGTCTAATATTTACATTGTTGTCCATCTATTGCTAATAGGACAACTCTACCAATTTTAAATTTCAAAATTTAATTAAAAAATGGCCCAGTGAAACTACACGTGTCGTAGAGGGATCAAAATAGCAGCAAATGTACAAATATTGATTATCTAAGAAAGAAATCAGAATRAGAAATCCTTTGTTAAAGTTCCTCCAACATTACCGCTGTGACGTATAGTGAAAAACAAGATTATGTACACTCCAAAAAAAAATGCTTGGGTTTGAAGTCTATCTTTTTCTGATCGTAAAGTGTTTATAATTAAAAGTCATGGTCAACCATCATCCCTAACAAGGCTTTGTTTATACTTGAAAATAAAAATAGATCTGTTATCGATGTTATAACATCGTAAATTTTGTTCTTTAAACTGATAGATGGAATGGATTACGAATGGATATAGTTTTCGATATAAATCTATAACACAATTGCATTGAATGCTAGTTGACCATTTCATTAATAACCTAATTGACAAAAAATAAGGATTTTGTGACATGATTAAAGAACAATATGGTATCTATTACATGTAGACTATGATCTAAGCTGTGCCAACATGTCTTCAATCTCTTTGTCTTCTTTTGCTTTGGACCCTGAAGCAAGACGACTATCATGAGCTGAAGGTGCTGCTGCCATCTACGAAAAAAATAAAATAAAATAAAATAAAGAAATAAAGAAATAAATAAAAAACATTAGTTTCTACTTGCTGTAAATTTATAATAACAAACTGCAGGTACATGTGCATACAATTATTTGTAACTAACTTGTACAAGGAGCACCATTGGAACCACTTGGCTTCTGTCATTTTATTAGCAAGACTGCTAATGTTATTTTTCATTAAWAGTGTTGCATGTCTGCATTAGCGAACTGCCCATTTGTGAATTTCGCCTCAGTAGTCAAACACAAAAGAATCAAGACGAGGCGCCAGGCATAAAGCTCAGTCAATTGTGAAAAACTATTCTCTTTTTACGAATTAGATGCATCATGTAACTGATAAAATTTTCAAGATAAAGGATGCTTTCTACTACAAAAACCACATAGGGAATACAAAGGACAAAGTTTTTAATCACACTCACCTTTCCAGCAATATCAATACCAATTTCATCTAAAACTTGATTAACAATGGCGTCCTGTTCTTCTTCATCACCAGAATCATCAAGAACAGAGTCAAGGCCTTCATTCACTTCCAAAAACAAAATAAATCATCATTATCATAACTATGTATCGTAAATGTTCTCAGAGCCTTTTCATTAGCCTGTGTTCCTGTTCCAACCCCTTCCCCTACCCCAACTGGGATAATTCTGGGAATTTGACCTGTAGGGGGAGAGGTGGGAACGGATGTACACAGGCAATCTTTCAATCAAAGTGAGACAGCAATAGTGCTGGCAATTATAAATATTTGAGATTAATATTTATTCTACCTGGTGTAGAAACAGTATCAACTCGATAATCAAAATATACAACTGAATTTTCTTACTTATTTCTTCTGACAATTCCATCTTTGCTGATTCCTTTTCAAAATTTTGCAATGTTTGTTGTAATTTCTGTGGATTCATYTGAGCATTCATGCCTGCCATTGTCTAAAACAACAAGAAAATATCAATTGAAYAACTGGTTCCTGGTGGACTTCACAGCTTGTTTCTGTTTTTGASCTTCCTGTGTCGACGAAATCACAGCCCTCTGACTTATTCATAAATGRAAAACAGTTTGGCTGCACATGGGTGAAGGGTAAAAGAATATTCAAATTGATAGCACCATGTAGACGAGAAGAGTCAGAGACACTCAACAAGAGCTTTAAACATACCTTGGAAGCTGTAGACATTGCTCCAGCCATTGCGGCAGTTGACTGCATCGCCTGTGCTTGATATCCAACGCCTGATAATTTTGTACTCACACTCATATTCTTGGTCTTTTGTTTTCGCAGGAGAAGGAGTTGCTTGGCTAATGCTGTTGCAGCCTGGAAATCAAAWAATGATATCAAGTRTCTATTCAAATMATTGCTCTMTGTGAGATGGAGTACTGCTTGTTTACCTGCTTGTTCCCTTGCCTTGCCATCTTTTTAATTTCTGCTTCCTGGAAAAGAAGTTAACTTTTGCATTTTAAACTTACTGTGTTTTACTGATCATTCCGATCCAGGATAATAATCTGTCATAGCCTACCAATTGTTTTTCCTGTCTTTCTAAAGAAGTTCTATCTCTTGTTAGATCTCTTTGTGCTTTGTTGAGCTGCCGCTTTTGCTGTCGCATTTGCTCTGTAAAAGTAAAGCCATTCTCAGAACTAAGAACTTATCTATTACACAACTTTTGAAGATAACATATAAAAGTTTATGAACTGTTCCTGTAAACYTGAGAAATTACGCGAAATTTTGAATTTTCTGATGTCTTTCGATGTGCTATTTTTCCTAGAGATGCTKCCAATCTTCTAAATAATTTATTTTTTAATCTAACGAGATCAAATACACTTAAATCTTGAAGAGTTCGCCTTTCAAAACATTGTGTACTTCTTCGGCAGTGCAAACAAAACTCGCTCAAATTTCTTAAATTTTACCTTTAGGATCTGGTTTTCGAAACATCTTGATAGAATGATTATTCTAGTCTCTTAATATGTGTGTGTTAATCTCCCAAGAAGCTCTGAATATGGCATAAAAGAAGATATTACAGACAAAATTTCATTTGACTCCCTCACWTCCAGTCGCCATTTTGTAACAGCTAAAAATAGAATTCGTGTGTCGACTGGGTACTACTTACGTTCGTAGCTATTTCGGGAATGTATCGTCATAGATTCGGTATCAGCTGATCTAAAACGATTCACAATCTTTCCAAGCCGGCTTAAAATATGTCGGAAAAGTAGCCGGTAAAATTATTCCTTGCATTTCGYCGTGTTACGAAGAATATTTCTGTTCAAGAATAACTTCCAGCCAATTGAGAAAAATTCGCGCCAAATTTCGCATTCCGAGCCGGCTCCCGTTAATCATTTGTATGTGTTGGGACCGTCGCCTTTGGTTTCAGGTATCTATAACGTTGAAAGTGAAGCACTTTTCGTTAAAAATACCCCTCTAAAACACATTCATTGCCTTACCTTGTGCAGGGAAGATACCTGTTTGCCATTTGGAAGTTGAATCTGGCCACAACTGCTTGGTTTTATTGGTGTTGAAGACGAATTTCACTTGAACCGTGCGTTTCACATGTTCCACAGCTGGAGAAGGTAAGCTAAATTTATACAAACAAATKATATRATAGCATGCACGTATGCCTGAATGAGAGCATACGCATTAACAAGCGCTTGGTCTAGTATTTTTTTATGGGGTTGCACTTTAAGATAGAAGAGTTTTTCAACGTAAATCTCACTTTGCAGTCGCSTTACTGWACGTTCGTAAGACATAATTTGCACTCCAAATATTTGGAATTTTATTGTAGAATTTAGTTKTGAACTTCGCAAATTACTCTCATTCTAAGACAGATCTTTCATCCGTGTGGATACTCGTTTGCGCTGTCTGTTTTGGTTTTGGGCCTCCTGTATACAAAGACAGGAAGCCCGGTAAAATGAGACTGGCTGCAGGAGGTCTCTACTAATGGGTAATGGGGAGAAAGAGGATCGGAGACTAGGGAGAGGACAAGAGATTAAGGACAAGGAAAGTGAAGAGTATAAGAGATAGAGAGATGATAGGGTGGGGTGGGTTGGAGTGGGGGTTAGCAGAGAATCTAGAAAGAGATTGGTGAATAGAAGACAAGGAGGGAGAATTTGAATGGGAGAGAAAGAAAGAGTGGGAGGACTAGGATGATATGGTGTTTGGGAGAAATAAAATGTGTGGTGCTCATTTGAAATTGTCATGGTCTAACTGCCGTAGATACAAACTTTCCAAGCAAACCTAAAAGAATTGYATTAGCTATCATTTATATCATTATATCTCTTGTTAGTTTTACTTCTTATTCAATAGTCTGTGTGGTTGTACGTTCTCATCAAGGTGAAATTATGGATAATTTTCAGTTTTTAAAAATGAACTTCAGCTGTTCAACTTGAACTGTGATGAAGGATTACTTGTTTTAAAAAAAATATCACAAGGTAAAATAAAAAATAATTAAATTCTTGACATAAAATCYCTATTTTGTCATTAAATTTCCACCTTTCAAAAACCAAAATAGATGAAAAGAGTCCAGACTAAGAATAGCATTCACAAACAGACAGATATTTCTTACAATATGACAGATAAGTCGTCTGCAAAGATTCAAATTTGAACAACAGTCAAAACTCCGGAACCGAGAGAAAGGAAAAGGGATTGGGTCGATATATACCCAGAATTCTGTTCGAGAGTATCTACTCAAACACTAGCCACAGGTGTAATTAAAACATTATACGAAAAACTAACTTTGAAATGAATAGATTTTAATCTATTCATAGTTTTTTAACCTCAAGGACACTAAAGTACAAGATTTTGCGTAATRGTTTTGCAAAATAAAGTCATTACTGAGTTTCAAACGAATTATGCAAATCAACAGCGCGYGAACGGAAAACTAAAAGACCACATTTKAAATTTGGTGAGACTTAATAAGACTATTTTGCACGTTTTATAAATTTTCTACAACAAAGTTATGTTTTTAGGGTCGTAATTAGTGTTCATAGTTTTAATTTTAAGGGTAAGCAAAGTGTTTCTATGCAACCGTTTGAAGGTCCATTCGATCAATTCACATTGCTGTTTGGTCGGCAACAAACTGAGAACAAAAGAGTGGCTTACAATTCAGTGTCAATAAAATGGCTGATAAAAGGGTGAAAGACCTATGGAGTTGTAAATGTTTCCTTATTTGTACAGTTTTGGCAACAAATAACAATCTTAAATCGACTGGCGTTTTGAGTGCAGGAAAAGGAATATGTTAATTGCTATATTTTTAGCCTCACAAAATGAATATTTATTTTATATCACAATAAGAAAGCGACTGTTTTTCGTGATTTCGATCGATGTTATCTCGTATTGTGTCCTGCCATTGTGTATATTAAAAAAAGATATCTTGATGATAAGCTTAGCCTCTGGTTCATATAATTCAAAATCCTTGTATTTACAACTGAATTAATATGCATCATCTTGCGTGAAGAAGACAAAAAGTTGACCACTGCTGTGTTTTGTAGCCTTCACTAGAGAACCCCCCGCTTACAGAGCGCAATTTCGGGACCTTGAGATCCATCCGGACAGTCTAAAAATAGTTTGTTAATTTATTGAGTGCGCCTTGTAGATTTTCATAAAGGTTTTTACATCTGTGCTAAGACATTATTATTGCTTTTTGTTATGACTTAGYTGACGGCAGCCATGTTTAATAATCAGTACATYAAAAAGAACAAAAGTGCAGTTGAGAGGCAACTTTCTTAAATCCTGATCTCAGTTGCTGATTTCCTCCTTGCACAGTGGCGGATCAAGAACATTATAAAGTGAGGTGACCAACTTAAGGAAAAATATTGAATGGATAGATTTAGGGGTGTAGAAAATGAAATTTCTTTCAAACGAGCGTTCKTTTAGATGTTTTTCAGAACGCGGAGCATTYAGGTTTATTTCCTCGTGTCCTGATTTCTATCTAGTCTCTATTTTTTAGCTYTATAAACGGGGGARTGACCAGCCAGCCTGGATCTGTCTTTGTTTTAAGTTATTTTAAGACGTTTTCCGTGACATTTCACAAAGTTTGTTCAAGGTCGCTTCAAAAATAAATTGTTCTTCTCAGTGCAAATTGATAAACGTAAAGTTCATGGGGTGTCCCGTCCACCGCTGTGAAAAACATTGAATCCGTCACTTCAGGAATGCTSTAGTCGTCTATCTGACTGACAAAGCWAGAAATTAGGTACGCATGCGCAGTAGTACCCTGAGCATCTTGTCATATCAGTCTAAAACAGCTCGGATGCGATAACGATCTAATCATACGTTCAATTAATCCGATAATTGTACCTTATTCCAACTGTTTGCAAAAATAAAATTCTCAGACGATTAAAATCTTGATTAAATCGCCACAATCATAATGTGCGGTGTGTTTTGTCGGTCTGARTGAGAAGTGTCATTCATATGTGGGAAGGAACTCGCCGTCGGTTTTCAAATGAACCCAACCAGCTAGCTTTTAGTGGTTAAGAAAATTTATTATGGTTGGGAGGTAAAGCTAGGCGGATGAGGGGCAGATGTGCTTCTCTTTTTAAGCYAATTTGTCTATTGATAATAATGATGATTTTAATGGAAATATGGGAATTAAATAGGTGATGTACATGACATTTTCTTGACATTGCAAGGTCTTAACATTTCGCGGTGGCCGAAGCGGCATCTAGAAAATATAAAGGCGGTTGACAACAAACAAATGTATGAACAGCCTCCTGAAATCTAAAGTGATAATAGCCACCCCATGCAGATATCCCATAATACTCTACACCAGTTGGTCTCCTCTTATGTGACTATAGATTCGACGAAACAAAACAAAAGCAAAAAAAAAAAAAAAAGGAAAGAAAGAAAAAAGAAAAAACGTTTCACCTTAGACGGTAAAAATCACGATGTTTCCGCTCAAATGCTCATAACGAAACCYGCCAATCTTCGGATAGGATACAAAGCTCAAGCAAGTTTTTTTTTCATATGTTTACTGGAAGCAGACATTCTGATTGGATAACTTGCAGTTGGTTATTTTGGCAAAGACCACTGTGTTAAAAAAAGAGAAAAAAAAACATCATGTCACGCCAAGACTAATGCTTTTTCGTGGCGTTTTTAGTGGTGGCCCAAGTCGAAGCACAATAAAAAAAAATATTTCTATTTGACATAAAATAGCGTCAGTACTAAAGCTGGACGCCTCACCTATTCTTATCAATAATGTWCTTTTACAAATCGATGTAAACCTTGAAAAAAATTCAGATATAAAAAGGACTATAATAATTTTMAACATTACTAGTTAAGGCTGCAAGAACTTATTATGATACCAAACGTGCAAAAAGCTTTAATCTTAAAACAAATAAACACTGTCCTCCGCGTCAAATTTGAATACACAATATCCACTCCAATCTATTTTTAGCCCGTCCTAAATTCAACATACATGTTTTACAACATGCTTCATAGAGAAATATAAATTCCAGATGCTAATCGTAGAGGTTGCAGTACGATTTAGTGGTTTGAAATATATTGTGCCTTGATTTTTTGATAATTATTGAATAATTTAGACCCCTTGGCTTYTCTARTAAGTATGCTGTTCTCGCGCCTCGGTATTAATTCCTGGATAGCCTTGTTGCTACAWAGAGCCATTTCTATCGCGTTGTCCAGTATTATCCTCTATATCACCCATACGGAAAAAAAGTGAATTTAACCCTAAGTCGATTTTCATACGCCAGTGTGTTCTCYATAGTGCTGTCTAACATGTATTGTGATGTAATTTTACTAATGACCATAAAGAAAACGCTTCCAATAAACCAAGAATCRCGGATTAGCAAAAAGCTTAATTGTACGTTAAGTAACGACGAGTCACTTTGGCTAAAATTATAAATGGCTTTTAGACAGGCCAAGAAAAAAGCTTTATTCTTAAAAATATTATTAATATTTAATAAGACAAATAATTATTAAACGATTCCGCGAACACTTAGTGTTTGCTATCAGCCTTCATTAAAATAAGTTTACGTTATCTGAGGATTTCTTGTCGTGGAGTTATGCTGCATATAGCGAGGTTTCCTTAAAAAATATATAGTATAAGAATAGTCATTATATACCAGAACTGTGCAAAATCGGTAGTTTTTAATTTTGAAGAGATTTCCGTCTTTAATTAGCACCAATTTTAGTTAAACTGTTCGAAAACAAATAAAAACACAAMATTTATTTCTGTTATTGTGAGGTCCTTATCCAGGACATAAAAATAGCTAAACGAACTTCCAGCTGGAAAATTACGATTCCAAACGCAGCCATTAAGACGCGGTATTTTCGTTCATAGGGGGGGTCTAAAGGGTTCTCGACTGTTTAACGCCATTCCCATTGCTAAGATACTATAATCCTGGGTAGTTTAATTAGATTTTGTATATTGAATTCTGWGCAGAGTGAGAAAATCGCTCATAACATTTTAATCCATCCGAAAGAAATGACTCTTTCTTCTTTTGTTAATTATTTAATTACTACGTTCACGCTTCATTGTTACCGTAAAATCTTTTACTGAACCATGTCATCGGAGAATTTTCACATTTAGCTTCTTCACTCTAATTTTAGTGCTAAAATT